GATTAAAATGTGATATTCTAACCTTTTAGGGTTATCACAAATATAATTATTTCTTCACCCATCAAGATGTTGTGTGGAACCTATCAAAGACTGAAGAACTTTCAAGGTTGTCCACTTTCTCCTCTTACATTTAAACTGAACCACTGGCATGTTTTATCAGACAATCCTTAGACCTATTGGTTTTCCAGAATTGGATACTCAAACTCCTCATTTTAAATGTATTACTAATGCTAAGTTTCACACTAGTTTTTAATTTAAAATTGAATTGTAGGTTTCACTTCAAATACAGTATCTCAAGGGATCCTAGAATTTCTGGCACCTTTGAAGCTACTAAGGGAAACCCAAACCCTCAAATAATGTTTTTAAAAGGTGGATATCAGATTTCTTGTGCTGGCTTTGCAGGAAATGTGAGGGTCTCTCACTCATATGTTTTGGTGATGTCCAGTCATGGCTGCCTTTTGGTTTTAAGTTATAAATTAATATATTCTTGGGAAAAATATAGTACTGTAGATAAAGATGTAACTGTGATGCTGAATTATACTCCTGGAATATGGTATTTGATATTTTATGAAGAACTTTGACTCTATCAGGCTTGGGATTCATCCAGAGAAATTTATTTTATGTAGATGGAAGGAAATCTACCACTCCGGTTGTTAAAGAATGGATTCAAGACATGTTTTCTTTATCAATTTTTGAAATGTCTTCATTTGCAAAAAATAAGAAGATGGAGCAATACGTTTTTATATGACCTAGATTTAATAATAAATCCAAGGATTGAAGTAATGTTGTAATAATATCCCATAGATTTTTTTTTCTTATTCCTTTAGTTTCTTCCCCAAGTTTATTTTCATCTTTGTAATCATGTAATTTTTTGTGGTACTATCACCAATCTATTATTCTTTTTGTTGTTATACTTTCCTAATAAAATTTTAAGAAATCCTTTAAAAAATCTAATGTTTCTGAACAGGGAAATGGATAGCATAAAAGTAGGCAATGATTGATTTAGCCTCACTTTCAAGTTAACTAGTAAACAGGTATATCCAGTAGCAATAAAATTGGTGAATGCCTGGCTGTCAGCATTTCCTTCATTTTCCCCTGTTTTCCATACTTTATGGCAGTGTTGTCCAAACTTGGCCACTTTAAGATGAGTGGACTTCAACTCCCAGAATTCCCCAGCCAGCCATGAAGTCCACTCATCTTAAAGTGGACAGGTATATCCAGTAGCAATAAAATTGGTGAATGCCTGGCTGTGAGCATTTCCTTCATTTTCCCCTGTTTTCCATACTTTATGGCAGTGTTGTCCAAACTTGGCCACTTTAAGATGAGTGGACTTCAACTCCCAGAATTCCCCAGCCAGCCATGAAGTCCACTCATCTTAAAGTGGCCAAGTTTGGACAACACAGCTTTATGGAGTTTACTATAAAATGTCACTGGGAAAGTTAATTCAAGATACATGACATCAGGCAAAGAAATAAAAAATTACATTTTTCTCTACTTCAGTGACTTTGTCTTTTGCAGACAGTCAAATAGTCAACTGTACCATAGAGGTAAATATCCTTCTTTCCTTGCAGACAATTAAACTCAACACACACCTGGCAGCAGGGAATCTGTTGCCATTTGAGTGACATTGGTGGGAGGCAGAACATAACTGGCGTGACACACATCATAAGTGGTGTGATTTTTGAACGTTTGAATGAGGCTTCTGTTCTTTTTGTTACGAGAAACACAAGAAAATTTATGCACTATCCTGCTTGACTGCTAAGCTGTTCCTCTCTGAAGACAAACAGTGTATCCATGGGCATGTGAAATATATTTACATCACCCAGTAGAAAAACACACCTTGCAGAGAAATCTCCAGCATTGCTTGGCTTCAACTATCATGTGAATATAGCCAACTCCCTCTGAAAAGTGTGTATTCCAACTTGTCGTCTCCTCTCTTCCACAGACTCTGCTAAATGGATTCCTGTTGAAAAACTTGGCTTCCAAATGCAAGTTAATGTTCCAGATCCGTCTCTCCCGTTAGCAAATTTTTAATAAGGCAACTTAATGAATTGTATAAGAAGAGGCAAGAGCACTTCATCCTTCATTCTGTTTGCCATTTGAATGCAGACAATGTTATTTTAACATTTTCTTGCAAGCAGTGTTCTTTTGTATCAAGGACAAAAGGTGAAATTGCATTGCCTATTAACTTATGCCACCTTATTAGCACAGGGGAAGCTCATATTATCCACAATGAAGTAAAATATTCTGCTTCATATAAGGATGTATGAAATAGCTGTCAACATTTTTCCTCCACATCAGATGTTTCTTACCATGTGGGGCTTTTTTTTAATCCAGGGTGATTTTTACTTTGTTAACAACAAAAACAGAGTTCACGCAAAACATTTGTGTGAGTGACAGGGCTTTTGTTGTTCCTTTTCAATCCGTTCTGATTTCTTCCTGCATCTTAAGACAGTGGCAAAAATCATGAAATTAAATAAAAAATCATTATCATTTCTTTTTTAATGTGTGTACCTGAATCAAATACTAAGATGTTGAGAAATCTGGCATTATCTCTCCTCTACAATACATGATATATGAGAAGAAAATTCTGAAACATTTCAGGAATGCTATAGTGAAAATTAAGCTGGTTGTGTGGGATAATAAGCTGAGCTTCCACATGGAACAAATTTGGTAGGAAGAACTACCAAATTGGTTGAAGAAAGAGCTGGAGGTATTCATTCATTACAATTTACCTAATCTAATGCTCATCCTTTATCACGAGTCCCAGCAGAGAAACTGGCAATTCAAGTTTCACAGGCCAGATAAATCAAAAATATCATAGGTTGTCTTACCTTCACTACTGATTTTGATTTTAAAATGGATTTCCTATGAACCTTGGTATTGTCTCCAAATGCCAAATTTAAAAAAAAGAGTATCAAGGAAAAGAAAAGAAGCTAATGTGCTATGGTATTACTAGTACCATCTTATACATATTTCATTACTAATGTGCTACATCACTAATAATATAATCCCATCCATATTTATTTTAAATCAAATCCTACTGTATTCTCCAGGGTTTACTTAGAAGGTGTACTGAGAATTTCAGCATACAATAGTTCTCGAACAAAATGCTCCAACTGACCTTGAAATGAATACAGGAAGTCCTCGCTTAACTACCACAATTGGAACCAGAATTTAGGTCGCTAAGCGATGCGATCATTAAGTTAATCGTCATGTGACTGGACCTGATTTTATGACCTTTTCTGCAGCAGTTGTTAAGTAAATCACCATGGTCATTAAGTGAATCATGTCATTAAGCGAATCACATGGTCATTAAGTCAATCACATGGTTCCCCATTGATTTTGCTTGCTGGAAGCCAGCTGGGAAGGTTGCAAATGGCAATTATGTGACACTAGGATGCTGTAACTGTCGTAAGTGCACGCTGGTTGCCAAGCGCCTGGATCATGATCACATGACCACGGGAGGGGGCTGCAATGGTCGTAACTTTGGACACTGATTGTAAGTCCCTTTTTAGTGTTGTCATAACTTCAACTGGTTGCTAAATAAACAGTCATTAAGTGAAGACTATCTGTATCCAAAAGCTGCAACTGCCCCTCAGACTAGTACAAAGCTATGTGTGATCCCCCTAATTATTTTTTTTATATCCTGGAGTCCCCCACTCAAATTACCAAAAATTGGCAGGACACTTCTCTATTGTTTTATTTAATTACTTATTCTTTATATTTTTATACCATTGTAGTCATGCAACTTTTGAGTTAGGGAACACAAGAAAACTATAATATATGCCTTAATGTGCATATAACATAGTTATATCATGGAACACCATCCCTAAATTCAAGAAAAAGCATAACTCTGATCCTATTTACACATTGGAGGACTCCACCTATTTTATATAATTGTTCTTCCCAATACAATCCTTAGCCCTTAAAAGTCATTAAGTATGGCCATCTAGCTTTGAACACATTGCTCACTTTGCCATAAGATGATACACATATACACAGCATCAAAACATCAGCAACTTTTAACCCCTATTAAATTCTGAAGGTGAAAATGTTCTGTCAACCAGTAAAAACTGCAAAGGCTATGTTCATATACTTGGTGGAGCATAATTCCAGAATAAAAGTATATATTCCTCCAGAACTTAAGCAAATGTTTCTGGAAAAGGGATTAGCAAGATAGAATAGTTTTTGTCCCTTTGCAGAAATTATTCATGCCAGCAGCACTCTTATCTTATCCCACCCTCTGCCCTGCACGGGCACTATCATTAATTGCTCCAGGATAAGGATCCCTGAAGACAGATAGAGGAAGGCTAGTGCCAACCCCCATATAAGCTAGTTTTAGCTGCCCTCTTTCTCCCCAATGACACCATCTGACTTACCAGAAAAATCCTAAATATGTCTGTCTTTGTTTTTAAATAATATATTTGCATTTTTATTTATAATTGTTTCTACTGCTCAAAAATATCTGCTTTGGCTAGTCTATTGTCCTGAAAGTCTGGATAAAAATAATTGTAATAATAAATAAATAATAATAATACTGTATCACACGTTCTTGCTTTCATTCCTGGCCATAGAAACTCTATGGATCTCATATATTTTACAGTAAGTCTATATTCACCCTTCCCATCTACTTTTCCCAAAGTTAAATTAAGAAATATCTAGCATAATCATATATAGGCTTTTCAGAAAGAATGACATTTATTCCTCTTCATGTTGAAACTGAACTGCTATTTAATTACTTCTAGTTTACTGTCATTTGGCTAAATAAAATAAACTTTATTCTCAAGCGGTGATTCCTCAAACTTCTGGAAAAGATGCGCTCATAAATTCAGATAAATTTCCTTTAGTTCCTTGGATCATTCTGCATGTTGTATGATTCCAAATCTTTATAACAATAGCAATGATGTCCTTGGCATGCATGCATGCATGCATAAATAAATAAATCTAGAAAGAAAAGAAAATTCCAGCATGCAAATAAGGAAAAACAAGCTTTTCACCTGGCAAAGCCGACTCCTCTACTGACACCATTTGCATCTCTTAATATTCGGGTGGAAATGACGTGTCCAAAGGGTTTCAGCATATTCTCCAACTCCTGCTCATCCATGGAAATGGGCAAGTTTGAGATGTAAAGATTAGTGGGGTCTTGTTCTTGTTGCTAAAATAAAAGAGATAGCCTTATGAGACCTTCTTCAGCTGTTATGTCACAACAGACACAAATATACATTTTTTTTAAAAGAGGGAAGGAGCAAAATATATATTACTTTATAGGTGAATATAAGAAGTCCTAACAACAAATGTCATAGTTCAAAACAGAACTAACCCTTCAAACAAGACTGCAACTGAAGAAACAAATCAAAAGAAGGATCAAGTAGGCAAGAACTACTACAGGTAGTCCTCAGTTAGCGACCACTCATTCAGCAACCATTTGAAGTTGCGATGGTACTGAATGAATGGTATTTACTACCAGTCCCTGAAGTTCTAGCCATTGCACCACCCCTGTGCAATGTGATTGCACTCTGGGCGCTTCGCAACTGGCTCACACTTACAATGGCTGCAGCATCCCAGTCACATGATCACCATTTTGCAACTTTCCCTGCCAGCTTCCCACAAGCAAAGTCAATGGGGAAGCTGGCAAGGAAGGTTACAAGTCAGTCCCACCACTTTTTCTCTCAAGGAGCCCTGCTATAGAATTCGAGATCCCAGTGATCTTGTACTCTAAAGTGCGTTTGCGCCACAGCACCACCTCCCCAGCCCACCCACTCTTGCTGCAGCACCCTCCCTGCCTCACTCTGTAGTACTCACCGGCCCTCTGGCCTGGTTGGCAGGTGTCTGGGACTTGCAACTTCCAGTGGGCTTCCCCACTGGCTTTGCTTGTGGGAAGCTGGCAGGAAGTCGCAAGTTGCAGTCTCATGAGGTTCTTGCCTAATGACCCAGGTTTTTTGCTTAACAACAACAACGGGGACTGTTGGGATTACCATTGCTAAGAGATGCAGTCACATGACATTGTACTTTATGACCACTTCACTTAGTGATGGAAATTCCAGTCCCAATTATTGTTAAGCAAGGACTACCTGTATATGAAACCAGCTGAGAAAAAGTAATACAAGGAATTACAATTCAAAATGTTATCTCTTCTAAAATGTGCCTGTAAAATGGGTCTACCTGTTGGTCTTCTCTGGAACAAGAAAAGATAAAGAGGGTCATAAAGGAAAGAGATTCTCTTAACAAACCTGATTTCTCTTAAAGAAATCTTTCAAATGCTGTCCTTCCTTAGGAAGAGCTTAGAATAATAGTATTGAATCCCCAGTTTCAAAGGAGGCATCAGTTCCTTATTCAGTTCCCTACCCTAATTTCACATCTATTTGGATGCCTAATAGTCCAAGTGCTTGAAAATAAAAAGAGCAATAACCAAAATGCTTAACAGATGTGAAAGCAAATAATGAAGAATTAATGTGAACCATATAAAAATGGAAATGACCAGTCTAGTCATTCTAGATTAATTTTTGCCTTTTGTGGCAGTTTGCTAGGTTTATAGCTGATATTTTCATTTGTGTATATGTGCATTTTAAAAAAAAAGTTATAAACCTTCATTTTACTGTTCCTAATATGCTTTCTGCTAGTACTGTATGTTAGAAATGACATACAGCCCAAAAGTTGGGATAATAGCAAATGTTAATATATATAGAAACAAAATGATGAATTGAATAGTAAAAAGAAATGACAAATATTTAATTAATTAATTAATTTGTTGCCCAACTCCCAACAACTCTCAGTGATTGAGATATGGTGAGCTTTCCCAACTAACCTCTATCTATTCCATGCTGTGGCGACTGCAATAAATCATACAAGAGAGTAAGCAACTGTTTCTTCAGTGTAGTTCTGGTGCAACTGGAAACAAATGCCTCTTCCATCAAGGCAGTTGGTCGGGGATAACTCACTATGTCCTATACAAAAAATTCCCAGCCTTAGTTAAATGTCTTTCCCCCTTGGATTCGAGTTCCAGATCTGAATCTAGATTCAAACTAAATTGTGACACTATTCTTATGCAGTTGTGGTTACAACTGTCATATATAAAAAATCGGAAAATTAGATACTGCATTGCTGTTAGTGAAATTGCAGAATTGTGGAGCCTATTGGAGGAGAGGATTATTAAAAAAAATCAATCTTAGTAAAAAGTTTTAGTTTGATTTATTTTTATTGTTGATCGCATAGTCAGCCAGATGTTTAGACTGGATTTGGCATTTTTATCCACCTATCGAGTCTTTCCCAAGGACCTGGGAAAGGCAGATGATGCTGTCTGATGTGTTAAAGGTGTTAAACGTGATTTTGTCAATGTTGATGGTGTTCAAGTGGTGCTCCAGATGTTTTGGGATTGCACCTAAGGCACCTATCACTATTGGTACTACCTTTGCTTTCTTTTGCCATAGTCATTCTACTTCTATTTACAGATATTTATATTTTGTGATTTTCTCCAGTTCTTCCTTTTCTATTCTGCCGTCTCCAGGTATTGCAATGCCCATTATCCAGACTTTATTATTATTATTATGGTCGCTATTTATTATGGTTGGTCGCACAGTCAGCCAGATGTTTAAACTGGATTTGGCATTTTAATCTGCCTATTGTGTCCTTCCCAAGGATCTGGGATAGGCAGATGTTGTTGTTTGATGGTGTTAAAAGGTATTCTTGCAGGATATAAGGTGTTACAAGTAAAGCTGCCTTTTGTAATTGATTGATAATGATTTCATCCATGCTGATTATTATTGTTGTTGTTGTTATTTTACAACTCCATTATTCCAATTGTATTATTGAATCTAGATGCTGTCATTAGTTTGCAAATTTGATTAGTCAGCCAATCAAAGAACAAGTGCTGATGTGCTCTACACCTTCACTTTATAGAAGGAACAATACAGAATAACTATTTTTAACAGAAACATTATGGAAATGGATGAATTGCCACCGCAATACAGTTACAGAGAAATTCTGTCTTGGAACTGTCAAATACAATGTTGACTGTAAGAACAGTCAAAAGTTAATTTTTCAGTTTTTAATTTGAGCAAATATCAAAAATAATCTTAGATATGCTGCAAACTCCACCTGTTTTAAACATTCATCAATATTTCCAGCAATCTTTGAAGGTTGGCTGAATTTTCTTCTCATGTATTTTGAATTAATAAATATAATCCACTTGTTACTCTTGTGACATTCTCAAGAGACAAAGTAAATCATAGATGATTGTTCAACTTAACTAAAGTAGATTACTGTAATATTTAAGTCAAATATAAAACCTTGTTAATTCTGGAGAAATCCTGACAATGCTTTATGGTTGAATCAGATTATGAATCAATCTATCATAATATAACAAGTGATACTTTAGAACATACAACAATGCAATTAAATAATAGCTGTGGTTTGAATATATCTAACAGCAATAAACCAAATATACAGATTCACAGCTAACACATCAGGTCTTCCCTAAAAAGTAGTTCATGGAGGTTCATGAATTCAAGGTATAGAGTAATACCAGGGCTATCCATGCAGCACCCCACTCAAACTGCATAATTGAATTTGGCTTTCCTAATTTTCAAGCAGAAAGCAAGTGAAAGCTATAGAATAAAATAGAATTAAATACATACAAACAAACAAAACATAAAAGAAAAACAAACAAAACAAGAGCTATAAAATTCTTGATCAACCCCTTATGAGACATCATTTGCCCACTTTGGCCCTTGCTGCTCCCAAACCATTACGGAAGCATCCAATCATGAAAAAAATGGCTATCTTTGTTGTGAAGCAAATTATCAGTAATGAAGAAACACTATGAGAAAATTCCTGATTCTGAAAGAGAGAGTCAAGAAAGGCTTCCTTCTGAGTAGATAAAACAGGCCACACTCTAAGTAGTTTTTTTTTTAAAAAAAACTGTTCATTTTGAATACATTTAAAAGTGAAAATATAAATGCATTTTGCCACAAA